AAAAAAATAAAAATTCTAAATATATTTACCCAAAAATTTAAGTTGACTAAGAACATTTTTGAAATGAAGAAATGAAAGGAAGTTTGGGGAAAAACTTGGACTCTTTCTGTATGTTTGTTTGGCCAATAAAATTGACTCCTCTCATCTTTGCTGTGCAAGAGAAGGGATGAAAACCTAAAGAAAATATCAGGTGGTATGGGGAGAATGTGATCTTCGACATTAATAAAATTGAAAAAAAAAAAGAGAATAAAAATAAATGCTTCCTAATTCAATTCAAACTTTGTAACGAAGACACACAAATGAAATTAAAGTTAAGAACCAAAAATGATTGTTGTTCACTAAACCACCCTTCCTGGAGAAGGGAATCATAAGTTCATTTCTTTTTATTTGCCTTTTTGATTTGCAAGTCAACATTACATATACAGCCGAAAGGCAGGATGTTCCATCCAACAACAAAAATGAATAATGATTTTGCGATTTTTCAGACTCAGGTTTGAGAGCAAATCAATGTGAGAAACCACTGAAATACCTATTTCATACAATAATAATTGTCAAAAATTACAAATCAAAACCACTCCTTGCAGTTTCGATGCCAGTGAGCAAAAGAATTGATATAAGTTTTTGACCTTTACCTTCTCCCAGTTAAAAGCCATGATCTGTTTTGTTGACACTTAGACATTAAAAATTGCAGTAATTTCAACCACCTGTACATAACCAAAAACTCCTCTGTACATGGACGGAATTTCTGTAGTTCAAAAGGCACGATTTTGCCCCCCAATTGTTCTGGGTAAAGTCGTGTTTAGAGCTGCTGTTCTGTGTGCGTTTTTTGCTGCTGTACTGCTGCTTATTCAGCTGATTTTGCCTCGGTTTATGTCTTCAAACTCTGGTGCTTATTCAGCTGATGGATAAATTTCCTTGTCCATCATCCTGTTTTGTGCACTATACTTGCATGAATTCCTCATTTTCTATCTAGTCTGTGGTCATGTTCAAACTGAAAATCTTATCTCTATTTATTTATGTGTCTTCATTCATCGTTGTTTACTTTGAAGTGTAATAAGTCAAATTTGCTTTTAAAGTTTTAAAATTTCACTTCTAAAGTTCTAAGTGCGTGTTTGCCTTTACTTTGTGTCTTGTGAGTAGAATCTTTCATCTAGGAAATAAGTGGAAAGAGAGAAAATTCTTTTTGTTGACAATTGCAGCCGTTGATCTTTTGGACCCTAGAGTTTTTGGTTTAGGAGCAAGCTAGTTTGAATTTGGGGTCTCTGTGTTTCACAGAGGTTGAGGTGCTCATATGCAGCTCCTCACACCTAACCATACCCTGAAACCCCTGCACCAACCAAATTTTAAGTTGACATGTTCCAACTTCTAATTTGAGTGAGTGAAGACTCCTTTTTCTTAATTTTCATGCTTATTATTCAGTTTTTGAATTTTAAGTGGTCATCAACAGGTCCACTAGGCTTTTGTTGCTGTTGGCATCATCACAAAGGCAGCCACCTCAAGAATAAAGATGAAAGTGAAGAAGCAGAAGTGTCATAGGAAGATTGTTAGATTCTTCTCTGTTTGCTTTGGGTTTAGGCATCCCTTCAAGGTGCTGTGTGATGGAACATTTGTCCATCACCTTGTCAATAACATCACATCCGCCGATACTGCTCTCTCTAATTGCCTTTGTGCCCCCATCAAGCTCTTCACCACCAGGTAAGCTCTTCTTTCACTTTCTTTTTAGTTATGCCTAATCTCCCTCAAACTTATTTGGTCTTCTAATAATTTAAGTTAGATGTATTCTTGTGGAGCTGAAAACTCTTGGTGCTTCCTATTCTCACTCCTTCCAAGCTGCTAACAAACTCACAATTGCAAGGTAAGATTGCTCTCTTTCTCTTTGTTTCATCACTTCCACATTTGACTTTCCATCCATCCTTCTTGTTCTAGTGTGTGGCTGTTTGCATGTTATGTTAGATTTAAATTACTAGCGTGCTTGTTATTTAATATGATTATTTATGAATAATTTTCATGGTCAAATTTAATTCAGATGTGATCATGAGAAGAGGAAGGGTGCCAATGCTTGCATTTTGGATGTAATTGGATAAAATAATCCTGAGCACTTTTTTGTTGCTACCCAGCATGTTGATCTTTGAAACAAGCTTCAGGAGGTCAGTCAATGTACTAGTGTTTCAATGTCTTGACTATTTTAAGTTGGATAATT